AGGCCACATTTGGAATATTGAGTTCTGGACATTGAATTGTTGGAAAAGGTTCAGAGAAGGATTACTAGAATTGTGCCTGGGATGGAGGGGGTTGTGATATGTAGAGAGGCTGAAATCTCTAAAATTTTCTCTTGAAAAAAAAAGAGTTGGGGGGAATCTGATTGAGGTGTTTAAGATTGTTCAAGAGGTGTTTAAAAGTTAGGGGGATCTGATTGATGTGTTTAATATTGTAAATGGAATTGATAATGTTGATGTATCATCTTTTTTCATATGAGAATAGTAGAACTAGGGGACACAAATATAAATTTTGGCAAGGTAGGAGTCATCTTCAACTAAGACAGTTTTATTTTTGTAACAGGGTGGTTGGCCTTTGGAATGGGTTGCCTTCAGATGTTGTAGAGGCAGTAAATTTAAGTGAGTTTAAGAAAACGGTTGATAAGTATATGAATGAAAAGGGCTGGGTTTAAATTTTTTTTATCATTTTAATTTAGTTTTGAGGATGGAATAGTTGAGATGGACCAGTAGGTGCCACGTTGTCCCAAAATATTATATTATGTTATTTTTATGTGCATATTTTGGTAGAATTTTTAAAGTTTTACTCTGTGGATGTATGTATTTCTGCTCTCTTTTATCAATGATAATGACTGATTTGGTGTTATCCTAGGAACGAATCTTTATGGAGAATGTTGGGGCTGTGAAGGAGCTTTGTAGAGTTACAAACAACTTAGAAGCCAGGATTGGTGAATTGGAACGAATCAACTGCAAACTAAAAATATTAGATAGCCTTAAGTCCACATCGAGTGGAAGAACAGTGATCAGGTTAGCCTAACTGCTGTTAGGTTCTGAACAGATAGTTGGCTCAAAAATTCTTATCAAGTTGTTCTTTACTACCACAAATGTTTCTCAGAAAGAGTATGTTTAGCCAGTCTACTTTTACACACAACATTAGTAGAAATTAGTAGAAAACATAGAAAAATATATATATAAACACATAACTTTTGTCAGTTACCAGAGATAAGTAGTTAAAAAAAAATTAAATGTTAGCTGTGATTGATGGTTTAAGTGAAAAATATTTTAACCATGATAAATGGTTGAATTGAAAATATTTAAATTGTGACGAATTATTGAAGTGAAAACTACTTAAACTATGATGAATGGTTGAAATGAAAAAAAACCCTTTATAATATTGAATGATTAAACTGGAAAACTTTTGAAATATGATGAATTATTAAATTGAAACGTTTTTAAATTGTGTTGAATAATTAAATGAGAAACAAATTATGATTAGATATTTAAAGAGAAACCGCTAAAATGTGATAAGCGTATGATGAATTAAGTCATTATTTTATTTTTAAATTAGGTCTCACAGATAATTTTATTTTTATTATTAATCCTCAACTTTTTATACAAATTGATTGGTCCCCTTGGTGAGTATACGATGCTAAAATCCATTCCCCATGGTAGTCAGAGTGCAGGTAGCTTGTTGTGTAGCTTTTCACTAAGAAAACAACAACAAACTTTGGGTTGATTTTCTTACTTGCAGTGTAATAAGAAAATTAATCTATACTGGTTTATAATAACAGTTATGAAGTATCAAAATTGAGCTGAAATTCTTGACAAAATATAACAAGGCTTAACATAGATCATACAACAGCTCAGAGCTCTATAAATCAGAAAATATGATAGTACTTGCATAACAATTTCTTCTTAGCGTTTGTAAATCTTGCTGATTCAAAAATTACTTTAAATAGGTTTAAAAATTGTGTTACTAAGTTTGTATTAACTGTTATTCTCATATAGCTTCAGATTTGTTTTTTATAAAACAGAAACAGTAATATTATTGTATGTAACATTCCACTTGGATTCAAGTATGATCATGTTCTGTCAGAGAAGCTCTTATAGATTTTTAAAATGTTAACACTATAGTATTGCTTTTTTTTTTAACAGTGAGGAATTTTATATCTAAAACAGTTTAAATCATTATGGTAATCATTGAATTTGTAGAAAGATTGTAGTAAGAACTAGTGATATAGATTATTGTCTGCTAAAATATACTGTTACATATCTGCTTGTTTGATTGTTTCCGGCAGAAATTCTTTCCGAGGATCTTCAGCAATACTAGTCCTTTCTTGATTAAACCAGTTTATACTTCCACAGTACCTTTCTAGTCACTTTAAACTTAACAACTTTTATAATACACTCTATAAATCACAGCGATTCACAATCTCGATAACTTTGCTCTCGATGAGTACAAGACACACACCTTATGGCTCACTAGCTCAAAACTAACAGAATCATAAATTACACGGAACTCAAAATAACTACTGCCCTCTATTCATTCATATCCTGCTGGCTTTCACTGGCAGGCTTATATACTAACGAAGAGGGCATCTTGGACTTCCCTGATCAATTGAGAAACTCATCACGCACGCCAGCAGCGTCACGTGACTTCCGCTCTCATAACAATACTTTCTCTATATAATCCATGATTGCATTTATTTATAATATTGTAAATTATGAATTTTTGTTAAAGCTTTAATTAATTTCCAACATTTTATGCTATTCTTTATTTTAAAGTAATTGAAAAAAAGTTGTTATACACCAATAATAAGGAATGCTTTTGTGGTAATCCAGTTTCTTTGTGTCATCCACACTACTGTATAGTGCATGAGAGAAAATGAATGTGGTAGTTTGAGTTTGATAGTAAATAGAAATTTACCTGAATATATCTGATTAACTAACGACCACACCACTTTAAACTCCCCTAATCAGGATTATAGCCCTAAGCTCCCGGATTTTAATATACTAAACTGGACTAAATTCAATAATCACCTCGACCAGTTACTCCCACAACTTAAAACATTGGTAAGATGAATATTATATAGATATTACATCAGATGTATTATTTCTATTTATGAAAAGAGTGAAATAGAGCAATTATTTCAATTGTGACAATTATTTAAAAGAGTTTATGTTAAGACTTGTTTACACTTTGAATTTCTTTATTTTTCAGTCAAACAAGCATTGCTTCAGGATTACAGAAAACATGTCATCATCATAATTTCAGAAAACGAGATGATCAGGCATCATGCATGAACAGTTTTCTTCAAGGAACCATCATCACTTTGGTTTTGATTATGACTTTTTGGTGAGTTATTGGTTTTCGTTCTTCTAACTGAAAAAATCCTGCATATAAGTGCAGACTATTGTAAAGTACATATTAAACAGTGTTTACCATTAGGCTTTTTAAGGTACATATTTATTGTTTCTAGTATTAAAAAAATAAGATATAGAGTTAGCCTTCTATCATAAAAAGAATAATTAATACCTAAAACTTTATATTATTTAAAAATATTATTTTACTCATATCTGTGCAGATACATTAATTTTTTGTCTATAGATAACATTTCCTGAGTCCTTGCAATTTGATAATATTTTAAATGAATAAATTATGTGTTATTTATAATGGCACTTTCATACTTTGAACAATATTATTGAATATCATTTTTGTGATAACTGGATATTAAGTCCATAATCACCATCTTCACGAACAACTCTGTTCAACTGTAATACTGTTGTGATTAATTTTCCTTTCATAATATGAACAAAAATGTTCATTATAAACATGAAATATTGTTTGAATTTTTTAACAAGTTCTTAGTGTTTTTTTTTTACTTTTTATATGTCTTACAGTCTTGTTGCTATGGCAACTCTTTATATCCTTGAATGGCAAAAGAAACATAACAGTGAAGAAAAAACTATGATGAACGTCTCAGTGTAAGTGAGGGATTATCAATTTTTAAGGTCAAAATATGAATGATTGATGAGCAGACTGCATTAATGTATTTCTTTTTTTTGCTACTTGACAAAGAGGTACTGCAGTTTAATAGTTAATTGGGTTGTTGAAAGTACAGAACATGTTTAAGAAAATGTGTCCTACACATAGTAGGATGCTATTAAAAATACTTACATTACACTTTAACTGTTTGTATTGTATGAACAAATACAGAGAGGGAGAAATAGAAAGAAAGAAAGAAATTACACAATGCTTATTTATTTTTATAGTTTAACACATGGCTGCACAATGGACTATCTGTGCTGTGGTCATTGCTGGTTTTGAAATCCAAATTTTAGACTTACATCTGTGCCACTCGGGGCTGCACAATGCTAAATGCTTTAATGTTTATAGTATTTTGGCACTTGTGTATAATGTTAAAATCATGTAGTCTTGTAATTCACCCTTGAGGATGACGTTGTAACGTCGAAACATGTAGAGTCGTCAACTTTTTGAAGGCCATAGATAGGCCTAAATAAAATGTTTTTACTTGTGTACCAGTTTAACGTTGAATATTATTTATGATTTTGCATTAATGTTGTTTAACTGGA